GTAAAATGTAATGAAAGAGGGTCATAGCAATAATGAAAGTAGAAGTAAAGTTAGTACTGTAAAATTAAAACAATATTTTTAATCAATGAGCCAAGTTCTTCAAGAAGCAGTTGTAGAAGTAGCTGGATAGAAGTTTTTTTTACATAAAACTTTTTATAGAATTTCTTTAAAAACACAATTGTTAATCTGGGCATTTGGCGATACAACACTTATAGAATTGAAGGATTTGTTACGTCAAGCGCTCAGGTATCATAATTTTGATCTAGTTGCGCTTCTATGTCATTTTGATTTATGTTGCTAAGTTAACTTTCAAAAAATTCTATGGCTGGCAACAGCATTTATAATTTTTAAGTTGTTTATTTTTATTTCTTTTAGAATTCGTTCTTTTTTTAGCGAAATGTTTTTTAACCTAACAGAATTCTTTCCCGACTGCTCTCTGTATATATGAGGAAAATAAAAGTAAATTAATTAATTCCTAAGTAATTAAATATTATCATGTTTTTAGGACATGAATCTGAATTGAACAACCTGATAATGCTCACACTCGTCATTGTTTCCGTTTTTAAAAGCGCTATATGTTGAGCCACCTCGCCTAGATTTGCCATGTGACATTTTTAGCAGGAATCATTGGTCGATTTTCTAACGTTGCCATTCGGGGAGTTGTAATGAGGCTTTTTTTGGTGCCGTGTAAGAGAAATATCTATACAGATGTTTACATGAACCAGATCTAAAACATTCTCTAATTTGCTCATTTAATTCAATTTTTTATGTTCTTCTGGACAGCGTATTTGAGAAATGCTGGGAAATTATCAAAATTTGTGAAGTGTTTGTTTAATGCTCTGTTATATATTTTAAGAAATTAGGGTTACAGTGAACTCTTAATAAGTTTTTCTTAAAAAAATAATGTTGTTGTTGTTAATTTACGTCGCACTAGAGCTGCACAATGGGCTATTGGCGACGGTCAGGGAAACATCCCGGAGGATGATCCGAAGACATGCCATCACAATTTTGATCTTCTGCGGAGGGGATGGCACATCCGCTTCGGTAGCCCGACGACCTGCACGCGAAGTCGAGCACTTCACGGTAGCACAGTTTAACGAGGACCAATACCGCACACCCTCGGTCTCTACGCAGACTGATCCAAGTGGTCACCCACTTGCACACTGACCGTAGTCAGTGATGCTTGACTTCGGTGTTCTGCTGGGTTTAACGATTAGCCCATTGCGGGACTAAAAAAAAAACAATGTTACATTGCTGTAACTTGCAGGGATTGTTTATATTTAGAGAGGGAACATGAAAAAAAATTATGTGATACATAAGTCATGTTATAACATGAAATTTTTTAATTTTTTTTCGTCCAAAAAATTGCATATTTATTTTGCTCCACGTTATCTTACGTGTTACCACCTTTATCTTAATAAGTTTAAGTAAGCTTCTTGCGCTAAATTTTTCTCCTTAAATTCAAAGATTATTCGTTAATTTCAACTCTATTTACATTTCTCTTCAAGTGGCAGGTAAAAAATTAACGCATTTTTCTACTAATTTACATACAAAGTAAACAAAGCAAGTATCTTAAAAAAAAAAAAAAAAAAAAAAAAAAAAAAAAAAAAAACATGAAAAATATGAACTATGAAAGTTTGAGAACTATTGAACTTGACACTATGAACGTTTTGAAACATTTAAATGACTATAAAATATGATGTGATACCCTATTTTGACATCTTTTTCCTACAAGTTTTTTTTTATTGTTCTAGAGCAGTGATTCTCAACCACTGTGCCGCGGCACTTTTGTGTGCCGTAAAATTATTAAAATGTGCCGCCAAATATTAGAAATGATACAATAAAAATTCTAGTGCTTTTCTTTATTATGAGAAAAGTTTAAATTAAAGAAAAGTGAATATATATATATATATTGTCAGC